TGGGCTTAACTGAATGGTCCAACCCATAACGGTCCATTCAGGCACAAAACCCAATCAAATAATTCATCTATTTAGTGTTTAATAACAATAGACCATAATATAATTAATTAATAATTAATTATGTCAATCCATATTTGATTAATTAAATAATTAATCTAACAATCTCCCACTTGGATGACAATAATTAATTATTAAAAAATATTGATTCTAGTATTAGAATATCAATAATGGTCACAACACCAATCAATCAAAAGAAGTAAATTTCAATGCTGCAGAAATTGTATCCGATAGGGAAGATAAATCATACATGTTAAAACTCACAACTTTATATAAAAATGATGACTTTAGAGTAACATATTTAACTTCAGAGTAATATGTTATAAAGAATGACCCAAGCATATGAAAATGCTATTGATAAACTCCCACTAACCCAAAGTATCATAAGACTTACTCATGTGTATAAATCTATAGTTAGTGATTATACTAATGAGTTTTAAATTATAGGTCATAGAATATCCACATAGGTCTAAGAATAGTAATTACATATAGGAATACCCTATTAACAAAGTAATTACATTTAATTATAAGTACCTTCATAACACAATATCATACTCGATAGGAGTATTGATATTTACTTGTACTTTCATATTATGACCCGACAAATGTGGACTATTGAAGATATAATAACACAATATTATTGCACGATAAAGAATTATTGTGTCTTTTCAATATCAACCTAAACATCAAATTATGATGTTTCCTGAGATTAAGAGAATAATATATATCTTAGTATAACAAAATAAGACTTCTTATAATTATTTTATATTTTGAAGTCCTTTTAGAATATGTCATATTTACAGTGCGCGCAAGAATATATGACACTATGAGAATAATAATCTAAAATTTTAGATTATATGATTGTGTTCACATGCAATCCACTCCCACTAATCCAATATGATAAGGATTTATCAGAGGCCACTAATATTAAATACTCTGATTGAACAACGGAGGTGCTAATGTTATTTTTAGTGCAAAATTATACAGAGAAGTGGTTCTATAATATATCATCAAACTCAACCACATATTTTGCACGTCAATAGAATATATCTTTATTTAGATAATTTACATGAAATAATATGATGGTCCTATAAAAGATTTACCATCTTTTGAGTGAGATCAAATTCATAACTCGCTCAAAACTCAAATGCTATAAGTATAACTACACACATTTGAGAAACATATTACGTTATACGCATCGGAAAAATATGAGGCTTTAATCAAATTTAATATTGAGGATGTAGCATAAGACTAAAATATCCTCAATATAAGTCTTTATAAAATAATATTATATATTAAACAAATAATATTTGTTTCTGAAATCTATATAATTGACATGTTAAATTCTCCCACTTGATAGAGAATAATAGTTGAATTATTAATATTAGAATTTTAAAATATTTAAACAAATATTCAACTATTTTCTGTATCACACAATAATCATTCAGGTAACGTCGCACCGATAGAGTATGTCCATCACTCACATAATACATAGAGAATTGAAATCCATTTTAATAAAAAAAATTATTGGATTTCATAAAGTATTACATGTCTTCAAAAAATATATATTTTTTCTTAAATAATACTTTCAACAATATGAAATAAGAAATATAACAATGTATAAATATTATGTCATCAAAAATTCTAATACCGAAAGGGTACTTGAACTATAATTTACACAATCATAAATCATAAGTGCATTAAACAAAACAAATTATACTAATAATAATATACCGATAGGGTATAATTATTATCAATATAATATTTATTATAACTAAAATTAATTTAACAAAATTTGAATAATTGTACACGATAGGTGAGTTACAATCATGCAAATTAAGATTAATTATATTTTATTCAAAATAGGAAAATTTATATAATTGTATCCACGATAGGTGAAATTACAATTATACAAATTAATATTGATTACTTAATTTTCCATAATAAAATTCATTAAAGTTTAATACCTCTACTCACAAGGATAAATGTCACATTCTCTTCGAGGTTAGTTGTATTTGATTATTGATACCAATTGAATGATTTAAATGAATTTAATAGATACAAATTATAGCATATTGTTTAATCTAACAATAATCAAGAATAATTAGAACGGTGTACCTTATAAGATTGAAGAGACGGTTGTCGAAGCTGGTGAGTATGAGAGAATTACTACCCTCATTGCCGTTTAGAATTTTCAGAGTAGTTTAATTGTCTAATGGGGAGACACTTAAATAGCTAAACGGCCGAGGGCAGGGATCTCTCATTGGGCTTAACTGAATAGTCCAACCCATAACAGTCCATTCAGGCACAAAACTCAATCAAACAATTCATCTATTTAGTGTTTAATAGCAATAGACCATAATATAATTAATTAATAATTAATTATGTCAATCCATATTTGATTAATTAAATAATTAATCTAACACTCTATGCTAGTGTTTTCCTTCTCATCAACATGAGTTACAGAGCCTGTAACTCCTCTATCTTTGACTTTCTTGGTGCATTCTTCTCAGTGACTTTTCTTGGTGCATTCTTCTCGTTGATCTTCTTCTTGATCATGATTCTCCGAGGCAAACCCCAACAGAGGATCTGACATGGGAGAAACTCAAAACCCTAGCAGAGCCATTCAAAATAGTGTTGTTAATCAAATAAGGATCACATGTAAATTTATGTGATTCATCAAGTTACACATTTTTAAAATGTTTATCATAAACTATTTATTTTTATAAATCGTATAAAACAAAATTAAAAGTGTTAAAACATGAATGAATTTTGACAAGAAAAAACCATTGTCGGAAGCAATTTTATAAGTAAAGTTAAATAGAAAACTTGTAAGCCTTACTAGTGATACTCAAAACTAATACTAGTTTTATACCTTGAAATTAATACTACTTAAGAAGTTAATTATTCCTTCTTAATTTGGTGCTTAATGTTATTCCAATTTTCTTCCTCTAATTTCTTAAGATGCATGCGAAATTATGGAAAAAGTTGGTTAATATTCAAATAAGGTTTTTGTGGAGAGAGGTGAAAGGGTTATCCAAAATTCTCCGAGTTATGTGGTCCGAAGTGTGTAAGCCCAAGAAGTTTAGGGCTTTGGTGTTAAAGATCCTTGTTTGGTTAATCTAGCACTTTTTCCAAGTGGAGATAGAGAATTCTTACGAGTTCCTTTGGTATTTGATCTGAAATCCTTGCTCGCTATGATGCCCCTATTGTACCTTCTTGATGAGGGAGTAGGTCTTCGTGGAATCACACATTTTCCATTTGGTAGAGATGTGTGTCTCTTTTTAGGTCCAAGAAAGATGATCCTTTATACTGGTTTGAGATGAGCTTGACTAAAAAGATTGAGTATTGTCGTTCGACTTACTTTTTTGAAAGATCTTTGGCTAGGTAGTACTCAGTTCAAGTTCAGATTTCAAAGACTTTTCTCAATTTCTCAATTTCAAAAAAAGATGGTGGGTGAGGTAGGAGGTGTGATATGGGTACGATTACTTGGAACTCTAGATGGAGACATATGTTTTTTGTTCATGAAGAATTGATGGTTGTTGAGTTCTAGTCAATTCTCCAAGAGGTCCAATTTAATGTGGACCATGGTAGGTGGGTGTGGAAGCATGCTAGAGACGACGTCTTCTCTGCGGCGTTTGCATATCAAGTTCTATCTAGTTATGGGTCTATCTCTGGTCATATGGGTTATAATGTGTTCCTAACTCTTCTCGTGATTTAGGAGAGATGGACCCCCCCCCCCCCCCCTCTAAAGTGGTAGTTTTCTCTTGGTAACTTCCTCTAAAGATAGATTTTCTCTCGGTAATTATTGATGATGAGGTGACCTCTTGTATTTTTTATGGAGATCATATATGTAGAGTCAGGCTTACATTTTTTCGTGACCTGTAGTTTAGTTTCTAGAGTCTGGTATAAGATTTGTAAGGGGTTAAGGTGCATTTGGCTCATCGCATGGATATTATATTTATTTTTTTTTTGTTTTTTTTTCTCTCGCTAGGTCATAGGCTTAAGATTAGGGAAAGTTTTATTATTATTTGACATATGCGGTAGTGTGGACTATCTGACATGTTCATAATGTTAAATTTTTTATCGGAACGTCAACAAATGTGAAAGAGTCGGAAGATAAGTGTATATTTTTGGCGTGGACTTGGTTTCATCTCAAAACCATAGCAATTAGAGATTCTTGGACTTACCACTAGTTTTCAATGGTTTGATGTCATTTCCCTAAAAATATGGATCTCTTCTTTTTATGTTTTATGGTTCTGTTGCCTAAGATCTAGTTTGATCTTGTTTGTGATGCATGTTCCTGTGTTGGTGTCAAGCTTCTTTTTTTTTTATTCTGATTATTTGTATTGGTTTTGTATTTTTATCTCAGATATCATATTATAATAAAATGTATGTTATGAAGGAAAGAAGTATAATAAAATGTATATTGAATAATGAAAAATATGTTGTTATTACATGAAGGAGTATAAAATTTATGTTGCTAGTAATTACAACTAACTAATCTAACTAATTAATTAACAAACTAATTAGATGATTAGGTTAACGACAAGTTTCACATGTAAATTTATATAATTCATCGAGTTGCACGCTCATTAAATTGGGTCCAAAAAAATTACAAACAAAATACTTGGATAACTTGACAATGAACACTCCAAATTTCATATACCAACACTGTTAAATACATAACTCCAATTAAAATGATAAAAATTATATATTTATATATTAACTAATCCTATTTAAAACAAAAGCTTCAAACTTAGAGCACACACTTTTTTGTCTTTGAAATCCTTTTCTTCAAGAAAATATATGAAAATTTCACATTATAATTTATCATGTAAAATTTTCACATCTATCTCTCTATAAATCTCCACTAATCATTTAATTTTCACCAAAAGAGATAGACAAAAAATTTCACATGACAAATTTCAAGTGAAATATTTCTACTTCTGATTAGAAATATAAGTTCTCAAAGATGGAGATTGAGTAAGAACATCAGGTGCAATAGTTGTATTTTGTGCTCCACTCTTTTGTTGCATTCTTCTCCTAGCAAGATACCCTCTAACCCAAGGAGTAACATCTTCGTTGATTTTGATCATGATGAAGAAAATAATGCGGTATATGATAATCATGCTTAAGATCACACTTAAATCGATCCATTTTGATCTTTTCACATCGATCTGGAACACGTACTCTAAGATGTATTCGCCAGGTATCTTTGGAAGATCAGGTGTTTGGTTGTCGAATATTAGACCGTTCAGATCGTTCTGGTATTGACCCTAGAAGAAAATATATTGTATGGTGAGGCACAAGTTCGGAAAAAAAACCTCAAAATTAATGTAATGATGTATGATTTGTGTAATTTTGTTACCTGTAGTGCCCAAAAGTGAAAACTGATGTATGACATTGGATAGCGCCAAACTGGCTTTGGGATATCATGTGGAAGCCTGAAGTAGCCAGAGACCAGCATGAATATGCCCTGAAATTTGAAACAATGATTTGTCATGTGGCATCAAAGTTTTTGATGTTTCCGCAACTAGTGTCGATGTTGCATCAAATATATTTGACTAATCCAATGCAATATTAATATCTTCGTAGTAGCGATTTTTTTGTTAAGAAGAACAACTAGATATTTATATAATGAAGCAAAAAGGAGAAAATTCAAAAGATGATTTGAAAGAAAAGAGCATCGGTTTAACACAAACGTGCTTAGATTAACGACAACGCGCATACCTGAATTCCCGCTCCAATGATGATTCCCATGAGAAAGTTAGGAACAATACTAGCAATTGCCATCATCAAGCTTTCAACAACGGTGACACTCGCATAAAGACACAACACGAAGAAAACATAATGCGAAAATCCAGGATGCAGTTGAACCATGAAGTAGCAAATTGTTCCAGAGAGAAAAGTGATTAATATTAGAAATGGTGTAGCAGATAATGTATTGCTGACAACAAATGCAGTCACACCATAATGTCCATTAAGCCTCTCCCTTTGAAAAACCTATAAATCAAGAAAATAATCGAAAAGTTCAAAATCTACAAAATCGTAAAACCTTACGATGAACAAAAAGGATTTCAAAAAGCACAAAATTTTATACTTTCATATCTTCAACAAACGAAGGAAATCCACCAATCGACATGAAGGTAACAAAACCGAAGACAAAAGACGCACACGAACCCCTCGCCTGAAAAATAACAAAAACGCGCACAATATGAATCATGTAACGAATATAAACAAAAAATGATATACTTGCAAAAACCAAAAAAAAAAAAAATGTACCAGAATAGAGTTGTAGCCGGTGCCAACATTCAAGTAAATTGTTCCGATGCAGATAGTGACAACAATGTAGATTACAAGCCGAAGCCAATAGTAACCGAAGTCCCTCGACATGTTAATGAATGAACGTTTGGTTAATATGTATGTCTGCAACAAAAAACTAGCTTCACTTCCTCCTGCCTCGAGCACTGTCCCACGCTGCGCGTAATATTCAAGAGTGTTAAACTTTATAAAGTCGAAATGTATCGAAATTTAATTTAATCGAAAAAGTACTTACAACTTTTGAAATTTCATCGACTTTTTGTCTTGCGGCGTAAGAGTGCTGAGAAGTGCGGTAGAAATCGATGAGAGTTCTGATAGCTTCAGCAGTTGTGATCTTGTCTAGAGGATCATCACTTCCTTCAAACTGATAAAACAAAGTTCAAAGTAAAATTTGGTAAAACGAAATCGAAGCGAAAAGAGTTGAATTTCAGTAAATTGTGACACAATGTCAATTGGTCACTCATTGATATGTATTTAATTTTTTTTCCATTTATATTTTTTATATGAAATTTTTAATTATTTTCAAATTTAATATTACTACAAAAGTTGAAAAAAGAAATATTAATGAATCATAAAGAAGAAAAATGCAATACCCTCAATTTCATGGACCCTTTAAGAGTGGCTTTGACTTTATCAAAATCAGAATTGATACATCTAAGAAAATGATCAGATGGGTTCCTTAGAGCAGGGCATGGAAATCCAGCTTGTTCAAAGAACTGCATACAAAACATCATTAAAAATCATTAAGAAACTTCATTGCTCATATCCATAATCATAGTTTGCAAGAATAGTATAAAAAATAAAAAAATATTCATTTTCAGGTTAATAATTTTATAGACGAAAATAAAGATCAAGACTGTCTTTGAAGGACATGCAGGAGGTAATAAAATCGACGATAAAAAAAAAAAAAAAGTAGAAATTTTGTTGTGAATTTATTACCTCATATGCTTCAGAAGCTTGACCAAAATAAACAGTTTTGCCACCAGAAAGCAAATACAATTGATCAAATAATTCAAACACTTCACTGCTAGGTTGATGAATAGAAGCTATCACTGTTCTTCCATCTCTTGCTAATGCACGTAGTGTTTGAGTCACAAAGAAAGCTGAAGCACTGCCACAATATCATAATTTCAACAAATTAAAAATAAATAAATTATTTATTCATAAAAAATATTTAATTTCTTATTTACTAATTTGATCTATTTTTAACTGTAACAAAAAAATTTAATTTGTTCAAAAGTACACAAATTATGTTTTTCCAAATATATACTATGATTTGAGGTGGAAATAGTTCCACCCAATAGAAGGTGACACACATGAATTAATGTTATAATTATGCAAAAGGACAAAACACATAAATTTTAAAGAAAAATAAATTTTTAGATTCATTGTAAATGATTTGATGTACATTCTTTTGTAGTGTTAGCTCTGAGTTCACAATATATTAATAATGTAGAAATATGGGGTTGCATTGCCCCATCATTTAATGTGTCCACGTTGTTCATTTCTACAAATATATAAACATTATAATATAAAAAAAATGAAGCAATAAATACACCTAAAACAACAACCAGAAAAATCAAATAATGACTCCAAAAGAAAATAATGGTAAAGAAAAATACAATGACAAGAAATGTTAAGACTATTAATTTTTATTAATTTATTGTAATATAGTGTCTATATTTTTAAAAAATATATACATAAAACAAAAAATATTTATATATAATTTAATTTTGATAAATTTAATTTAAATTACACTTGTACCCTTCACCCAAATCTTAAAATTTCCTAATTAAGATACAATTAATTATAAGTAAAATCTTTATACTTAATTAAATAGATAATTTTAAAAATATATTAATTTAAATTATCTCTCTTTTTATTAATGTCAAGTTAACAAAAATCTACTATAAATATACCAAAAATTATAATAAAAAATATAAAAGAAAAACTTATAATATTAAGAAATAGATGTAAGATGAATTTGATTTTTCAATTGGTTAAAAAATTTCATTTTATTTTGTTATTAATATCAAACATTGACAATCGTCTAATCTTAATTAAACATAAAAAAAGAATTTAATTTAATAATTCAAAATATTAAATTAAAATAATTCAATCTTAAATTACTACTACCTCTATTTGAAATCTCTGAATGCAGAAAAGCTTGACTGCTCTTAAATAAAGTAGGAAATAGTTATATAGTTGGTTGGTGGTTAGATAGATACTAAATTCATGTGGAAGATGAATAGTCACAAAAATAATGTTTTTAGACAAAAAACAATAAATGCAAAAACAGTGATATGTAACAACCTGTCAAGTCCACTGGTTGGTTCATCAAGGAAAAGCAATCTAGGTCTCATTAATATTTCCAAAGCAATACTAACTCTTCTTTTTTCACCACCACTTATTCCTCTTAAATGCCAATTACCAATAACTGTGTCTGCACAATCTTGAAGTCCCATTGCAACTATTGTGCTCTCAACCAATGCTCTTTTATCTGATCTTGACATTTTATCTGGTAATCTTAATCTAGCTGAATACCATATTGTTTCTCTCACTGTTAAGGTTCCAATCAAGTTGTCATCTTGTGTCACATAAGCCTGTTTGTCAAGAAAAATTCATTTTATGTTAATTAAATGAAAAATGGCACATATTTTTGGATAGATTGTAGTAAAAATAGAAACATTAGGTTAATTGCAAGTGATTACTATAGATAAGATTGGACAAAAGAAACTTTTAGTTTAGGTGTGTTACATCTAGATTTAATTATTTCACCTCACTAATTAATGTATATTATTTCAAGTTAAAATAGAAAAATACAAATGAAATAAAATAATTATTAAAAATATCCGTTTTAGAAGTATTCTCTTAATACCGAAATTTTTTATATTTTTCTATTTTCTTTTTATTATATTTTTAATAATAAATATTTTTTGTTAAATAAAAAATTCTAATGAATTTCCTTAATAATTAAATAATAAATTACTAAATAATTTTTTTATACATGTATATATTTTAATCTTAAAAAATATTTTGCTAAATATTATTCGTTGAAAAAAAGATTGCTAACTTTTTTTATTCTTTTGTAATATAAAAATTAATGTTAAATTCAAATCCTTATAAAATTTTCATTAGTGTTGTTAACATAAATATAAAAAAAAAAATCTATTTAAAAATAAATAAATAAATACTTTTATTTTGCTACCCATGTGCTAATGTTTGGCAACATTAAAACTACACATCTCAATGAAATAATTACTTTTTTTGTAATTATTATTTATTTATTTATTTTGAAAACTCTTCTAAATATATTTAATGTGATTGGGGTTCTATAGAGTTAGTAGATATAGATTAGTCTAAAAAGTTATTTTAAAATACTTAATAAATTTATATGACTATTACTGTTAGGTATGAAACTAACCAAAATTGCTCTAAGAACTTTCAAACCAAACAAAATCTAAAGAGCAAAATTATGATCTGTATTTAGTATGCAAAAAGCAAAGTAATTATATATTCTCTCAAAAGTTCAAAATCCAACATAATCTAAAGGAAACAAAGTACAAATTTAAAGTAACTCTATTTCAAGAACAAAAAATAGCCACATATATAATAAAGAAGAAAGAATAAGAATATATATAAATCAGAAACAAAAATACTCACAGCAGTTCCAAAAGATAGCTTTTCTTTGCGACCATTAAGAAGAATGGTACCAGAAAGAAAAGCATTAGAAGCTAAACGACTAGAAAGTGCATCTAGAAGAGTTGATTTTCCAGAACCAGATGGTCCCATGAGAGCAGTAAAACATCCTGGTTCAGCATAGCCTGTTAAATTCTCTAACACATTTTGTGTCTCACCATTGCTTAGGGTTACCATGACAGTTAAATCTTTCCATGTTAGTCTTGCCGAGACGTCGCCGATGAACTCGGTTTTCGCCTTTTCTCTCCAAAGGGTTTCACTCAATGGACTCAAAGATGGTATATTTGAAGATGGTTCGTTTCCTAGTGATGCAGGTTTGTAACTAGGTTCAATTTCCATTGCTTAGTTTTTGAGAAGTTCTTAAGAAAATTTTGAGAAATTTTAAATGGATCTTTTGGGTTAAATACAATATTTTTATGAGGAAATGATGAAGATTGAGGATTTTTCTAAAAGGGTGTTGAAAGATGAGAGATTTGATTATAGAAAGTTAAGCATTTAGCATTAAATATTTTGAGGAAAAATACAAAAAGATAAAAGAATAAAAAAAGTGTGAAAGAAAAAGGATAGATAATACTAAAAGGAGAAGAAAAGTGTGAATGGTGAAATTAGAAATGAATGATTTGGGAAGTGTGATGAGAATTTTTGACTGAAAAATAACAAGATGATTGAATGAAGAGAAAGGAAATTTTTGCTTATAGGGTTGTTAAAGATTTTTGTTGGCATGAAATGAAATAAGAAGGAGTGATTGGATATTCAAAGAGCCACAAAAAAAACACATTCTTTGTGATCAGAACTCATTGTTTGGATGCACAATTGTCGAAGGAAGTTTAGAGATAAGTTGTTTGTTGAGGTTGAAAGTAGAAGCAGTAGTAATAAGTTTCAGCCATTAAGCAATTAATGGGAACAGATGGATGTTGGTAGATACATTTAATTTCAAACCGGCCCTAGTAGGTTTTGAGGTATTAATAAGTGTTTATAAATATCTATGGATATCTTATTTAAAAAAAAATTTTAAAAAAAAACATATTTTGAGGAAAAGAAAAATTAATAGCTATGTAAAAAAAAGTCCATCTTTTAATAATATTAAGATGCAAAAATAATATATTATGCTCTCACATTCAAAACAAAATTATTTATTAAAAAATAAATATAAATATATCTCATTTAACTTATACATGAATGGACGATAAAAGGTGACACAATGTTTTTTTATTATAAAATATATCCTTTTAAAATCTACAACTATAGACCTAAGAGACATTGCATTGTTATGCATGATCATTTGAATTTTTTTTAAATTCTTCACAGCAGATAGTGTTAGCAAGTCAAAATTGTTAAATGCAAATGGTATAAAAATATATTGATTGTTCGAACATACTTTCTTATATTTATTCACTTTGTTTGTCCAACAGTAAAATCAGTAAAATCTGTAGTCCTCATTCCCACAACTAGAGAAACTTCAATCAAGTCCACAAATACATGTTTTCATCATATCCACATTTACACCAAAACATTTGTTAGCCTAAGTGTCAATCTTCCTTTTTGTAAGTCGATCAAGAAGCTCACATGTGTCTCTTCCTTTACGAATACTCTCGCAATATATATATATATATATATATATATATATATATATATATATATATATATATATATATATATATATATATATATATATATATATATATATATATATATATATATATATATATATATATATATATATATACATATATATATATAAACAAAAAACATCTTTAACATTTACACATTTACACCAAAACATTTGTTAGCCTAAGTGTCGATCTTCCTTTTTGTAGGTCGATCAAGAAGCTCACATGTGTCTCTTCCTTTACGAATACTCTCGTCTGCCTATATATATATATATATATATATATATATATATATATATATATATATATATATATATATATATATATATATATATATATATATATATATATATATATATATATATATATATATATATATATATATATATCAACAAAAAACATCTCTAACAAAGTCACGTTGAAATTTTAAGTCTAGAAGCTCCTTAGGATGAATTGTTTTCTCTCCAAAGATATCCAGATACGCCTTACGACAAACAAGGAAAATTTAGTCAATAGAAATAATGGAATCATGAGACAAGGATAATGTGGTACTCTACTTTGACGAATGTTGGTCTAACCCACTAATAGGAATAACGAGAAAAAAAAATCATAAGGATGTGTTGCTTGCAAACACTCAAAAACTACTTTATGTCTTGTGGTCATGTTAATGTTTACTTTTATTTTCTAAACACTTTTACTAAAATAAGGAACTCGCCAGAACATGTTGGACTATATGGAGGATGTTGTCCTTGTAGGTAAAACTACTAAGGTAAAAATTAGAAATCATACCGCTAAAACCATCCAAAGCTCTCTCAAAATCAGAATACATACCACATATCAATCACAACACCTCTCGAGATATGGTCATATAACACCTAATATTGGGCTCTATAAGCCATAAAGGTGTACAAGGAAGCCTATGTTCTTGATTAAAATCTCAACCCCAACCCTGATAGACAAAAAGACACATTTCGTTTAAGGTCCCCAAAGAAATGACCTCTATCAACCACAATGTTTTCGACCACCCCTTGTAACTCTTTATCAAACTAAATATCCACCTTTTATATGTGAATCGGTTGGCATGCCTAACATACACACACAAAAAAAAATCAATTTGTCGGTACCCATGCAAAATCAAAGTAGAAGAAACTCACTCCAGGATACAATTTTGCATCCTATCCATAAAGAAACCCCCAAAAATAACTAGATGGCATCTCGCCCTCAGCTCACGTATGTCGCAGTGAGAATTGGATATCAAGCTATTAATTAACTTGAATTACAAATCATAATTCACTATCGATCTTTAATTTATCCAAGGGAAGGGAAAAAGAACGAATAAACCCATAAGTATGCAATGCAAAAATAAAGCAAAAGAGAATCTAAGGTTCAGGGGTTGGTTATACCTAGGAAAGGTGTTAACATCCTAAGTATCTGTAGTACTCTACAATAACCTCTTGTTTTATTAAGTTATTTGTTATCTTATCTGCTAAAGGGTAATGGGTAAAGGGGGACGTAAAGTGTTATTTCAAAGTATGCTCACCAAGACATCACATTTTGTGCCTATGTATCCTGATGGGAATGGAATCAGAGCATTCGTAGTTCCCCTAAAAGGGTAGTTAAAGTTTGTCGATTGGTTTTAAGAGAAGAGACAAGTTGTCATATTAAGGAGAATACTCAACTTAAACCACCACAAACATGTGGAAGCCGAGTCTTTGCATCGCATTGAGAGAAGGACTCCAACTCGGATATAGAATTGACGAGTATTCCACATACCTCTCTCAAGAGGGAAAAAACTACATCTTTCTCGAATACGTCATGGGGTAGGAGAATCACACCTCAGCTAAGGATTACTTATGTCTAATTCTCTCATGGGAGAGAAAGGAACCTAATTTGTAAGTTGTCAAAAGTTGAAATCCTAAGGGAACCTAGCCTGAGGATACAAGTATGCATATCTTAAGTTGATAGACCTGAGGGGAAATATGGATCAAGTAAAGGGGTAAATGATGTAGATGAAAAATGCAATACATATGACTATAAAGTTAAACATAAGCCCTTCCTTTAGATACAGACATATGCGATCATATTATTATACAAACTTCTAATGAATGAGCATAATCAAAAACTTTTGATCCCATGTAACTTTGCCATGACCAATCAATCGTTGTCCAACTTCACAAATACTTGATTAATCAAAGGAAGTTTATATTTGGGATTTTTTGAAAACCAACTCTGACCTTTGGATTTTGTACTTAACCTTGTGATCTTGTCATAAAACAAGAATTGGACTTGACCTGGGAGATTTGGAATCTTGAACTTCTTTGTATTCTACCAAAGTCTTTGAGTTTTTGGGTGTGGAAAGGTCTCAAACTCTTTGTGCTTAGACTTGTAATTTTGAATGGCATGGTACCTTGATCTTTATAACCATGAATCTCTTAATTCTTAGAGAAATAATGTACCCAAAATCTTGAAACATCATATTGTAATCAATCATGAACCATAGCCCAAATCATAATGCATTGAAGCCCAAGATTGTTGTACCATGTCCTCCAAAATACTTTGAACCATAAGCAATTAAAGCATGACCTTGGCCCCAATGAGCTATGACCACAAAACTCATCTAGGATATCTTTAAGTCATTAGTTTAAGAATGGCCCAAGAAGAAAGAATTCTGGAAGTGGAGCCCATATTAAGAAGAAACCCTAGGACGACCTTAAGTCCTGATCAGCTAGTCATGCTCTGAAATGCTCGGCTGTGAGAATGAGTATTATCTCTACTTGAAATTAATGCACCTGCATAAACTAGTTAGTAATATTAAGCACACACACAAAGACCGTATGACCTAAAGATGTTATACAGGATGATGTACAAAGAGGTGGGATCTTATGGTAAAAAATTAGGGTATGACAGATGCTCTTATTTAAGCCTCTTCTATCTGGAGATATGGATATCGAAATCTTCGTCTCGACGAGATAGGAGAGACTTAAATACAAACATGCATAATTTTTTGCCTCAAGATGCCACCAAATGCACAGGACATGACATGAAATGATATGATATGAAAGACAAGGATCCTGTGGGGAACGATGTCATAGGGGATAACTGTATACAGAAAACGCTAAAACACAATTAAAGAAAGAAAGACCCAATGAGGAACACCTTAGCAAACAAACCAAGACTCCACGGGGAAAATATCCAACTCCACTGGGGACAAGACTCAACGCCACTAGGGAAGAGACTACCAACTGACAATCATAAGGTATCTTAAACGCAGGGTGATGAACTTGTGACAAAATCTTCTAACAAATTCCACTAGAGATTTTATTGTCGTGGTCAACTGTGGGAATTTCAAGAGATATCAACTGGAGGAGTCTACTGCCGAGACTTAAACTTCATTTAAGAATACCCTTTACCAAGGTTTTATTGAAAAATGTGTCAACTGTAAAAAATTTACTAGAAAATATGTTATCGAGATTAACTAGGGAATCTAAAAATAGGAAAACTATTTGTCGAAGTTTGAAGAAGCATCAAAGTTAAACAGAGAGTCTACTGTCGTGATCCTACTACCGAGGTCTACTGGAAATCTTCTGTCGAGGCTTGCCAGGAAATGAAAGAAAATACCTGATGCCGAGGTTTACTGGAAATCTTCTGCCAAGACTTGCCAGGAAATAAAAAGAAAATACCTTATGTTGAGGCCTACTAGAAATATTCCGCCGAGACTTACCAGGAAAT